AGACCACCACTTGACGAACAGGTTCCACTTCAAGGCGTAAGCGTGTCTCGTAGACAGTGCTCGCGCCGAAGTGATGGTGTCAGCTACCTGCTGGGGTAAGTCACCTAGAACCTCCGCATCCCGTCCAGGGACCAGACATGAAGTTTCCAGAGGTCTGGATGCGGATGCCACAGGGTGCCCCATCTCTGAGTCAGTAGATCCTTCCTGAGAGGAATCTGCCAGGGAGGGGCTGTCGCGAGTAGCATTAGTTTGGGGAACCAGGTACGAGTGGGCCAATACGGCGCCACAAGCAGGACCTGCTCCTCGTCCTCCCGTCTCTGAGTCAGTAGATCCTTCCTCAGAGGAATCTGCCAGGGAGGGGCTGTCGCGAGGAGCATTAGTTCGGGGAACCAGGTACGAGTGGGCCAATACGGCGCCACAAGCAGGACCTGCTCCTCGTCCTCCCTGACCTTGCACAGCGTCTGTGCGGGAAGGCTCACTGGGGGAAACACATACTTGTGCAGGCCCCGCGGCCAGCTGTGTGCCAGTGCGTCCGTGCCAAGTGTTCCCTTGGTCAGGGAGTAGAACAACTGGCAGTGAGAGGTTTCTGCAGAGGCAAGCAGGTCTACCTGAGTGGCTCCGAAATGTCTCCAAATCAGCTGGACCGTCTGGGGATGGAGTCTCTATTCTCCCAGGAGCATAGCTCGTGACGGTTGAGCAGACCCGGAATGTGATTGGCACGAAGTGACCTCAGAACCTTCCAACTCCAATGGAGGAGGTGGCGGGCGAGTTGCGACATGCGACGGGAGCGTAGACCACCTTGTCGGTTGATGTACACAACAGTCGCCGTGTTGTCCGTTCGGACCAGCACGTGCTTGCCTCGTAATGTGCCCTTTGAGATGGTTCAAGGCAAGGCGCACCGCTAACAACTCTAGGCAATTGATATGCCAGTGCAGTTGGGGGCCCGTCCACACCCCCGAAACTATGTACCCATTGTACGTGTCCCCCCAGCCGGTGGTGGAGACATCCGTGTAAACCACAGCATGCCCAGATACCTGTTCTAGGACCATGGGGTGAAGGTTTGGCGACAGGCCGGTGTAACTTGGACCCGGTGAGTGCCGCGCTGCCACGCCAACCTCGGGACTCGGCCATGAAGCCAATGCTGAAGCGGTCTCATATGAAGCAGCCCCAGCGGTGTAACTGCCGCTGCAGCTGCCATATGCCCCAGGAGCCTCTGAAATTGTTTCAGTGGGACCGCTGTCCTGCCCTTGAATGAATTCAAGCAGTTCAGCACCGACCGCGCATGTTCCTCTGTGAGGCGTGCTGTCTTTTCGACCGAATCCAACTCCAAACCGAGAAAAGAGATCCTCTGCACCGGGGGAGAGTTTCCTCTTTTCCCAGTTGACCCGAAGACCCAACTGGCTGAGGTGCCGGAGCACCAAGTCCCTGTGTTCGCACAACTGAACCTGAGACTGAGCTAGTATAAGCCAATCGTTGAGATAGTTGAGGATACGAACACCCTGCTCTCTGAGGGGAACAAGAGCCCCCTCCGCGACTTTCGTGAAGACACGGGGAGACAGGGACAGCCCGAAGGGCAGGACCTTGTACTGATATGCACGTCCCTCGAACGCGAACCGCAGAAATGGTCTGTGGCTTGGAAGGATCGACACATGAAAGTACGCGTCCTTCAGGCCGATCGCTGCAAACCAATCTCGGGGACTGATGCACCCAAAGATGCGTTTCTGCATCAACATCTTGCACGCAAGACAAGAGCATCGGCTGCCTTCACTGTCGTGAAGCAGATGCCACTGAACTTGGGGGGACGCCGGGCGAACTGAATCGCATAGCCGAGGCTGATGTTCCGCAGAAGCCAACGAGACGAGCTGGGTAGCGCTAGCCAGGCACCCAGATACCGTGCAAGCGGGACCAGCGGAACCACTGCCATACCCGCAGTGGGGCAGCGAGGTGGAACGCAGGGACCCAACTCGGGCGGGACCGAAGAGGGGACTGAGTGTGCGGTGCAACGCTTACCTGGTTTTACAGTTTGGCAGAGGGTGCGTGAGTAGGGCCTTTGTTGACACTCTCGAACCGCCCGCTGCTGCCTGCTCGCGATGGAGAAGTGGTCTGGTGCTGGTCTGTCCGCGACTCTCTGTGCCCTCCTGGGACCCAGGGACAGAGAAAACCTCTCTCTCGTCAAAATTTTCCAGATTCTCCACCCAGCCCTCCTCCGAGGGAGGGAGAGGAGCATTCAGCATCCCCCAAAGAGCAGCTTCCTCCCTCTCTGAGTCGCCCGTCCCGGGGCCTCTTGCTCTTCCGCTCACCGCCAGGTTTGACGGGGGCCTGGACGGGTGGGGCAGCCTGCCTACGCCCAGCTCCACGGCGCCGCTTGCTCGTGGCTGCTGCAGATGCAAACTGGGCAGGCTGGGGCGCTGCGACCGGCGGACTGGTGGAGGCAGCAGCTGCCCGCCGGGGCAGGATGTGACAAATCGCCTCAGTCTGCTTCTGTGCAGCCGAGAACTACTGGGCACAGCTCTCGACTGCGTCGCCGAAGAGACCGGTCTGGGACACAGGGGCATTGAGGAACCGAACTTTGTTGGCGTCCCTCATGTCAGCCAGACACAGCCAGAGATGGCGCTCCTGGACCACAAGCGCAAGGTCAGTAGCGGTTCGGAGTTCTTTCAGAACTTCTGGATCGTGACCACCCTCGTGCAGGTCCTTCAGTGCCTTGGCCTGATGAACCTGCAGTAACGCCATAGCGTGTAAGGCGGAGCCAGCTTCTCCACAAGCAGTATAAGCACCGCCGGTCAGACCAGAAGAATTCCTACAGGCCTGGGAGGGGAGCGACGGGTTACCCTGCCAGGAGGAGGCGGTCTTAGGACACAACTGCATCGCTACCGACTGCTCCACCGGGGGAATCGCCGGCCACCCTGAGAAACCAATCATCCAACCTTGAGGGCTCGGGACGCGGTGGAGGTTTCCACTTGAGCCCTACCCTCTCGTGCTACTGCCCGAAGTAGTCCTCGCCTGGCTGCCACCAGGACGAACACTAGATCGTGGTCGAGGCAATGGAGCTCCACCCCCCTGGAGGAAACAGAGCCTGACCCGCAGCTCCGAGATGGTCATCTTCCCGCAACGGGAACATGACTCATCCATGAACGCCACCTCAGCGTGTTTAATGCCCAGACACGTGAGGCAGCGATCGTGACCATCACCCGGCGCCAGGTAACGACCGCATCTCCGTTGTCCTTACAAAGACACACGCTTATTGTACTCTTTTAGAGAAATTGACTATTTTAGGGAAATGCTTTTTTACGTGCTGAGACGCACAGGGGAAACGGCCGTTTGCAGCACTACAGGGGGTAGTGCAGCCTGAAGTGCGCAACCCACTCGACACAGGAACGACCGCCGCTGAGGCACCGTACACCAACACAAAAAGCTCCCTAGAGCGCGCTGAACTCGTCGTCACACACGAAGATATTGGCAGGAGCAGAACGATGTTATCGCTCGGCTCTAAAGCGAAAAGCTGGTATGCGTTGCATTGGCTGCCTTTTTATGCTCATAATTTTAGTATTTAGTTTTAGTTTTGTCTGTAGAGAATACATCAATTTAAACTAAAAATTAGATGTTGCCTTGACAGTTAGCTGAAAATAAGTTTTTATTGTTTTTTTTTTTAATTGTATTTCTGTATTTGTTTTTTTTGTCAAGTATTAAACATTGTTTATGGCTTTAGGTTTTAGTTTTTTTTATCAAAATATAGTAAAAATCAGTAATATTGTGAAATATTACAATATACTTTCTATAACACCTTTCTATATTTTAAAATGCGATGTAATCCTATGATGAAAAGCTGAATTTTCTGCAGCCATTACTCCATAATCCTTCAGAAATCATTCAAATATTGTTGATAAAAGAAATGCCTTTTTAAAAAAAACATCAGTATTTAAACGTTTAAATGGTAGTGAATGTTGACTGACACTGATTTGGTTATGGATGTATATTAATGACAAAAGTTTCACAACACTTTTGCTGTTATTGAGGTGGGATACTGGTAAGGTTAGGGACAGGTTTGGTGGTCAGCTCGACAGGGGGTAGTGCAGCCTGAAGTGCGCAACCCACTCGACACAGGAACGACCACCGCTGAAGCGCCGTCCGCCAACACCAGAAGCTTCCAAGACTGTGTTGAACTCGTAGCTCACTGAAGACACTTGGATGGAGCAGAACGATGTTGTCATTCTGCTCCGAAGCAAAAAGCTGGTAAGCATTGCACCGGCTGCCTTTTTATACTCACGCTGTGATCAGCGGCAGCTGGATGAAATAATTGCATGCCAATGTGCATTGGCTCATTTAGTTAGACTTGAAGTAGATTGGTCTCTCGAAGCGAGATCCCAATTCATCGGTCACCGACGTGACGTCGAGAGTCACTGACTGAAAGGGAACGCTAGTGATAGAGGGTCAATTATTATTTTTTAAATGAATAAAAAGAAAAGTCAAAAGAATAGAGAACCCTAGTGTTAGAGGGTCATTTTTTATAACAAATAAAAAGAAAACAAGTAGTTAGAATAGAAAGAATAGAGAGTGCAAGTGTTACAGGGTCAAGGGTTTTTAAATAAAGATATTATGTAGTAATATATAGTATATATAAAATACATATATATATATATATATATATATATATATATATATAGAAAAATCAGTAATATTGTGAAATATTACAATATACTTTCTATAACACCTTTCTATATTTTAAAATGCGATGTAATCCTATGATGAAAAGCTGAATTTTCTGCAGCCATTACTCCATAATCCTTCAGAAATCATTCAAATATTGTTGATAAAAGAAATGCCTTTTTAAAAAAAACATCAGTATTTAAACGTTTAAATGGTAGTGAATGTTGACTGACACTGATTTGGTTATGGATGTATATTAATGACAAAAGTTTCACAACACTTTTGCTGTTATTGAGGTGGGATACTGGTAAGGTTAGGGACAGGTTTGGTGGTATGGGTAGGTTTAACCCTTTGAGTGGTACGGTCCCACATATGGGAGTTTTATTTCCGTGCCCCTGGGAGTACGGTCCCACATATGGGATTGAGAATGTTCGGTGACGTCACATAACTGCCAAATTCAAACTGTGCTTTCGAGCTTTATCTGGCGCTGAGACGCCGCTGCACTTGTCATATAATCACAACTATGCAGTGGTTTTAACCACATAATGTTTATTTTAGGTTACAGACATTTAAATACGCATAAGTACTAGTGAAACAATACATTTAGAGTTCGTAAAATACACACGGATGTTTATGGAAGCAGCAATAACAATCCATTCAAATATAATTTGCCACCGTGTTTTATTAATATCAGATACACACAGTGTAAGTAACTATAAAGTTCACTCTATTCTTCTCCCAGTTCACCGGCCACTTACTTACATGTATTTCGGGAGAAATTGATTAATTTACGTGCGGTAAATCCGACTGACAGGACTCTTGTAACTGCAGCGCGAACAAACATGACGGCGCCCATCTCACGTTACAGATCACGATCAAGCTCATTTAGAATGGTTTTTAAATGACAAAACACACTCATTTACACATATTTGTGAATCAGAATATCAGATAGTTGATGATATGGTAAGCAAGTTTATGAATATTTTGAATCAAAAACGAAAAAATGAAATAAAAGCGATCCATCCGTCACACAGTGTTATTGTGGCCGCGGTGTGTCAAGTGACAAGCATGAAGCATGAAGCATGATCTGTTTATTACAGATGCAATTACATGCAGGTATTTTTAAAATATAAGTACAATGTATTACATGTACACAATACGTGAATTCTACTAAATTATTAATTTAAATGTAAGTAGATAGTAGTTAAAGACCCTAGATAAATATTCAACCATGTTACATAGTAGCCTCAAAAATGCAAACT